TAACCCTAACCCTAACCCTAACCCTAACCCTAACCCTAACCCTAACCCTAACCCCTAACCCTAACCCTAACCCTAAACCCTAACCCTAACCCTAACCCTAACCCCTAACCCTAACCCTAACCCTAACCCTAACCCTAACCCGACACAGTGCCGGCCGCTGATGATTAGCACTGTATGCACTGTGTATCCCTAGATACTGCCGTCGTTTCTTCACAACTTTCTCTTTCTCTTTCTTGCGCTACCGCGCCTCTGCCGAGTGCTAAACACGCGCTCGCGCGCGTACAGCGGTACACCCACCCGCCCAAAGTCTTAAAAAGTCCTTTTTGTCTTTTCTGTTTTGCACTATACTTATACCTAGTCTACGCCCTATTCAGGGCCGTGCGAAAATACACTGTATCGCACTGTGCAGACCCTCAACCTTCAACCCTGACCCCCCTTGTGAAACCCTGACTAACTAACCCAGATAACCCTCCGCGTCACCCGTCAGTGGCTTCCCTACTACTACCAGGCACTGGAGTCCTCACCGACAACAACTACAAAACTACTCTCAAGACTCTCCCTTCGGAGAGCGAAAAGTCTGCCTTCCCCCCCTTAACCCCAACAGCTGGCCTCTTACCTTTCTCGATCAATCCAATCCAATCCAATCCAATCCAAAACCTGTGCTTGTGCTTTAGACTTAGGGCTACGGGTAAAACATCAAAGCGATACCCCAGATGTTCCCCTTCCCTTCAAATCCAAGCCCCTACCTATCTCATCTCATATCCCATACCGGCAACTGAGACGAGATTAATCAGCCGCTTGGCCGCCCTGCTCATCCTACAGCAGCGAGAGCCTAGGTTTCCCTATTAGAACACCAAGCCGTGACTGCAAAAATCTCTTTCCAGTCTAATAGGGAACAGACAACCAGTTGATCATGAATCCATTTATGAATCGCCTCGGATAGGAACCCTCCGAGCTCAATATGCACTGCATATATGGGCAAGGCGACCAGCCAAGAAAAACCGCAGACGTCACTAATATCCCCCTTGGGCTACCCGTCTGCTCCCTTAATCCTAAGATCAATTGCCTAAACCATCACGGTAGTACAATTGTCTCTACAGCCCCGACTTGAGAGACATAGATTGGGGAGGGTCGACTGTGGCTAATCTCAACGGAGTGAAAGAGCCGGAGAAGAGGAAGAAGAAGAAGAAGAAAAACGAGAGAAAAAAAGAAAAGAGAGAGAAAAAAGAGAAAAGGCATATGTTAATAATAAACTTAAACCCAATTGATTGAATCTGTCAACCTGATCGTCAACCCTTCTCGCTTCGCTGCTGTATATCCCCATATTCATAATATGGCCGCTGCTCTTCCTGTTCTGAGTTTGGCTGTAGTTGAAAGTGGAGAAATGGTCCGCTCCAAAATTTGGGGGACTGCTTCCCTTTTGAACCCGCCCAGCCAACCCTTGCAGCTACCCCTGCCCCCCCCCCCCCCGGCCTTGGTCATCATCCTAGTTGCCGTAATTGTGACTGCAACGAAGCATTCTTCTCGTCTGCCGTTCAAAACGGGACATTAAGAAGGACGATATCCATAAGTTTTGTGACCTTATTGAGGAAATCGCTGTGCCTTTTATCTTAAAGGAAGATGCATCCACTCCCGGCGCAAAAAATATATTGCTGAGCCGGCTCGAGGAAGAAGGGACTCGTCGTGGCATGAAATACTCTGGGGAAATATATTGAAGTATGTTTTCGTTCGACTTGTACTGTTTAACACAAATACATAACTTTTCGCCCATCTTACGTGAAGAAATACATGTTGGAGTGGTGGTGATGATGCTGGAGTCGCGACGTGGTTTTTCCGAATATTATTACTGGTAATTCATTTTTTCAACACTCAACGAACTACCCTGTACCAAACAACCCATTCCGTGGCCGCTACGTATTTTACTCTTCAACCACCGTAAAGTACATATTCGACTTAGGCTATCTAGTATTTAGTATTGCGTCGGAGTTCTTTCCTTCACTTGGTGTGTATTATTTTACAGAATTTTTGGGTCGAGTATGATGTCGGTTTTGAAACATCGGTCCAAGTATGGTGCCGGCCAAAACTGCCTAATTTCCCGTTAAACCTCGACGGCTTATTCTAGCTGGGCAACAAACCTTGTCCAGGCTTTGGGACCTAACAACTTGCTTTTTTTATCCGTCGCCTGCTGCGATCATAACTTATGCACGTGTGCGCTACAAAGGTAGCCTTAAAATTGCGCAAGAGAGTACATCATAGTTCTCACCCCATCATGTACGCTCTGCATACGTTCACGCCGCCCACCCCCGTCTGGTTCGACAGTGCACCTCAAACTAGTGTTATCTTCGCCATAAGGATGAAAGGTAGCTATTGCACTATCTATTATGGAGAAGCCTCTGCCCGTCTTGACTGATCTTCACAGTGATTACTACATTACTCTAGCTTGGCTGTCATCTGATCTCTGACTGCCTTTCTCAAACGTTTTTGTGGCCTCCACGACCCATCCGTTTCATCTGTCTGCGCGGTTAAACTCGTGTCGCCTGAATGGATCGAATCCGTATTGGCAACAGCCTTGCCAGCTCGTACACGGCCACGCCGTCGGAAATATCTCCGGAGCCTTTCCCGCTCATCCGCTGTTCGTGGATATTTCCTAGCTAGTAGCTGCAGATAACGACATCCTCGTGACTGTGCTGCCAGATCTCTTGCAGCGTCTTGCTCGGCTTGTCGTGTCGCGGAACGCGAAAACATGCGAGATTGTCCGATTTCGGGTGTGATGCTCGCAACTGGAGAGCTGGGGTCGACATCGCCTGCCTCTAACAGTTCCTCGAACAATCGACTGAGTTCATCTAGAGTCTTATCCCGGATGCGTGTAACCATCCGTAGTTGGGGCGGATGGCCTCTCTCTACGACGGGAAAGATACAACCCCTGTTGTACGCCTCAACCGCACGGCCAAGTTGAAGTGCATCAATGTCAATACAGTCACGCGTGCTCCTGACTAAATCCCCGGCAGACCAGTGGTAGCACGGCTTTGCATTATCTGAGCTATTCACCCACCCAGTGATGCCGAAACGACGCTTGCATACCTCTGATAATAGCTGCGATAGATTATCTTGCACAGAGACGTGGCGATCTACGTCGTTGACTTTTCGCGTTGGCATAGCTGGTTCGTGGTGCCTTGTGGACTTATCCAATGGGGTATTATGGATAATCGAGGCCCAGGTAAGCCGGCGTTTGAGATTGGTAGCCCGGCTTTCCTTTGTCGTCGTTAGAAGCTCTGTGTCTGAGGCCAGGGCAGAATCCAATGCGTCAATAGCACAATCCGCCTCAGCTGTGCGTACCACTGTGTTGCGGCCGCCGCCCCAAGACCCATCTCCACGAGCTCGATGCTTCGACGAGTTGCGATACGGTAGGGCAGCGAAGCCCACCCTCTCCGACGCTTCATAGCCGTGCCAGTAGAGCTCGGCGAGAATAGGTCATCAAAGAGATCCTTCATGCTTGTCGACCGTATTTTGTTTCCGGCGACAAGGTGCGGTCTCGTGTGGCTCACATCACGTTGACGGTCGTGAAACAGGTTCGATAGCCCATCGTAGCATAAGCTTGGTGGACTAGACACTGGATAGCTCATCGACGCCTCGTCCGTCACATCAGAGCCCGTCTTCCAGCTAATACTCTTCAAGGCCACACGCCAGACATCCCGCTGAAAGAGCTCGATGACTGTGGAGTGCAGGTATTCGAGCCACAGTCTCTTTGCCGCCGCGTCGTCCTGCACTCGATATCGCCCTAGCCAACTCTGGGCTTGCCACATGCGAACGTGAACGTCTCGAATATCCTTGAGGACTCTCCATTGACGCTTGTAATCCTGGCGTAGGAGGTCGTTACCTACGGCGAGTCGATCGCCAACATCGGAAGCGAACCGCCAGGTATTCCAGTCAAACTTCCCTGGTAGCCACCAACCAAATCCGTGCGACTTAGACGTCTTGTTCAGACCTAGCCCTTCTCGCTCTACCTTGACGATCCGCGCTTCCCCACCCTCAACTCTCACGCGCTGCGTCGACGTCCATCTATCTCCCCAGAGTACCGATTCTTTCGCGATGAGGGAACAATCGTAGCTGAACCGAAGTCCACGAAGCGCTGCTGCCATAACAACAGTCTCGGGAAGTGAATATTTCAAGCCGGTCTGCGATTTTACATACTCAAATAGGAAACAATATCGATTGACGCTAGCACGGAGGAAACGGGCCATCGTTTGAGAAGAAACGGAGAAGAATGGATGGTCCCTCTCTTTATCTTCTTCATCATCGCCTGACCCATCCTGCGCGGGGCTAGATGAGAACATACCAGTGATACGCCGTAGAAGGGCCAATGATACCCTGTCTTCTGCACGTATACCATATGTGAATGGGTGATGTGTTGATTCTTCATGATGTATCTCATCATCATCATCATCATCCTGGTCGACAGCAGGAACGTTGCGATGAATACGGAGCTTGCTCAGACGGTAGGCACATTGTACTCGGGACTGGTGGGCATGTGCCCCTCGTGTGGAGTTACGTTGATCTCTGAGATACGATGGGTCTAGCGCCATGCTCTCGGTGTGGCGGTTCTGGAACGGGTACTGCTTAGCTGCATCGAAGGGAACTTTGATGAGGTTGTAGAACTGGCTATACACGAGACCGTTTCGAAGCTCCCAGCTTGATGAACTAGGAGTGATGGTCATGTCTCTCGCATCGCGAAGAGTGACAAACGGATAGGTCGTCCTGCGGATTGGCGGAGCCTGACGTTTGCCCGATTCGTCCTTGCAAGCGTCTTCCTCACGATGATACAGCCGATTTTGGATCCGGCTCCACTGTAGCCGGCGACGCCAGAGCCTATCCATGCAGCAACGGCGCCAGATAAGTACGCGTCCATGTGGTCCTGTATCGGCCGGCGTCATCTGGCGGCCGATGTCAATGTAAGTGACATCCGGATCAATGTACGCCTCGTCAACCGCAGAATTCCAGTGGTGCTGCCACTCCGCGAGTGCCGACTCGAACGTGGGCCGCATCCATGTCAGTTTGGTGTTCTTAGCAGCCATGTAGAGTCGCAACCCTGCATATTCAGGCCAGAGAGCAGCCCTGGAATGTATCTCCTCCCATAAAGCTGCGAGGTAGCGGGACTGAAGCGTGACGTAGAAGTGCTTGCGTCGTGACCCCGGCTGTGCGGCCGGACCGTCTCGTCTTTTCGCTCCGGTAAACCCATCCAGTTCTTCTTCCATATCGGCCTCATCTTCCTCCGCCACCGCCAGAGCTACTAACGCTTCCCGGGGCGCACTGCAGTCCGAAGACGCGATGGCATGTGTCTTTGGGATATACTGGAGTATGTTATTGTCATCGACAACAGCTTGTATGGCGGGCAGCATCACCTCCTCGTACCAGTGCACGAAGTTCTTTTTGGGAATACAGGTCTGGCTGTAAGGATCGGAGAGCTTGCCGGAGAAAAGGGCAGGGAAGAAGGCCCAGATGAACGTATCCGCAAGGCCAATGACACGTCCAAGGCAGTAGTTGGGGACATTGTGGAGGCGAATTTTTTGGGATCTCCGCGCGGTAAGCTTGAGTACGTTATCAATATTACGTGAGGCATGATGTTATTTTCGAGACCTAAGCGCGCGCTTTAGACGTATGGGAGGTTTCCATGACCCGCTTGAATCGGCAGAGTCGCTATCACTTGTATTGCTCTTTACGCTCTCGCTCTCCCTCTCGACAGATTTAGATTCTATTGTGTCCTCGTCTGCTGTTTGGTCACAGTTAAGGGCAGACTTCTGATGGCTGAATCCATGCCGTGTCATCCGGTTGTTAGAGCCAGTGGAAGACTGACTTAAGCAGGGGATCGTGCAACCTAACGGCATAGAGCTGTTCCCAGCTTGTTTGTCCATGGACTCGGTCTGTACGATCCTGATGAGTTCGCTAAATAACTGATCTAACTCCTCAAGTGTGCTATTACGTATACGTTTCACTAGCCTCAATATCGGTGGTCGGCCCCGTTCAGCAAGGGGGTAGATCTTCCCATTGCTACAGGGCTCAACAGCTCGACCAATGTTGAAAGCATCAACAAAAAGTGTAGTAGCGGTACATTGAAGAAGATCATCAGGGGTCCAGTGAAAACGTCTGTCCAACGGGTCGGACTCGGGTGTCCATCCAGACGTTCCGAAGCGCCTGGCTGATGTTGTGATCATGGTTTCACAGAGCTTGTCTCTTATTGTGATCTGGCGTTCCCTGTCCTCCATAGGACAAATAGGTACGGTAGAACGACAGCTGTACAGACGTAATAGATCGGGAGTGGCGTAAACAATAGAGACCCAGATCAGTCTCCGTTTAAGGCCTTTCTTGCGGCTCTCCTTTGTGGTAGAAATGATATTTGTAGTGGATGGCCAAGGCAGTATCCAATGTGTCAGTAAAAGGAGCCGACCAAGCTTCATGAACCAACGAGACGCTTCTGCGCACCCTAGGACTTCACTTATGACCTCAAAACTGCGCCGCACAGCAATACGATAAGGAGTGATTTTATGGTATTTTCGTGGTTCAAGTCGTCCTTCATGGAGATCAAATCCCAAGAGGTCACATACAAGGTCCCAGATATCCAGTGAACGAACCTTGTTACCCGTCAGAAGATATGGTCGAGTGTGACTGATACTCCGGCGTCGATCGTGGAACAAGTCTTGTAGAACATCGTAGCAATAATCTGGGGGGTCAGATTTAGAGAATTCAGTGGCCGCCTTCTCGTTGAGGTCAGAACCTGTCGTCCAGTCGAGGCTCTTGACGGCTTCGGACCAGACGTCGCATTGGAAGAGCTCGATCACAGTACTGTACAGGTACTCAAGCCAGATGCCCCGATTGACTGGCCGTTCTCGAACTGAGTAATGCTGAGCCCACTTATAGGCCTGCCACATGCGTGCATGGACATCACGAATGTCCTGAATAACCCTCCATTGACGACCATAATCGCGTTGTATGATATGGTGGTTCGCAATAATTCGATCGCCAACATCATTTTTGAAGCGCCATTTATCCCAATCAAATTTACCTGGGAGCCACCAGCCTAGCCCATAGTCCCTTGAAGATTTGTACAAGCCTAGACCTTCTAGCTCTACTTCGTCACCCTGCTGCTGATCGTTTTGTGGTGTAGTACTGCGGCCCTGTCTCCATCGATCTCTCCACAACAATGGTTCCTTTGCGATGATACCAGACATGCTGAAACGGAGGCTACGGAGCGCCATTGCCATAACAGCAGTCTCTGGTAATGAGTAACTGGGTCCAGTCTGAGACTTGATGTGCTCGAAGAGGAAACAATACCTATTGATATGGCTATGTAGGAAGCGTGCCATGGTTCTTGACTGTATGGCGAAAAAAGGTGGCTCCAGGTCGGGCGTAACCTCTTCATGGACAGCCGAGACGGCTGTCTGCGAGGGGGCCAAGTGAGGGAGTATACGTTGTAGAAGCGCCCAAGAGAGGCGATCCTCAGCTCGAACGCCATATGCGAACGGAACTGGGATCTCGTCTTCACCATTTGGAATCAAGGCAGCTCGAACCCGAAGTTTGCTTAATCGATAAGCGAGCTTGAGAGAAGCTTGATTTGCATGACTTCCACGGGTAGACTTTTCACAATCAGCGAGGTAGGAAGGATCCAGAGCCATCTTTTCGAGCTGGGGGTTCTGAAACGGGTACTGTTTGGCGGCATCAAAAGGAATCTTGACGAGGTTATAAAACTGGCTATAGAGGAGACCTTCACGAGCCTCACGGCTATTGTGGGTGGGTGTGATTGTCATGTCGGCCGCGTCGCGCGTGGTGACGAACGGGTACTCAGCTTGACGAAGGGTTGAGACGCCACATTGACGTGGCTCAAAAGACTGTGAGTGGTTATGTTCGTCAGGCTTCGCCGTGTTGTACTGACGACTCCATGCTTGTCGCTGCCGCCATAGTCGTCTCAGACAGCAGCGGCGCCAAATAAGGACATTAGACTCAGCAGCAGACCCAATTTGAGGGGTATATTGACGACCAATGTCGATAAATGTACAGTCTGGATCGAGGAATTTCTTGTCAACAGCGGCATTCCATTGATTGTCAAAATCACTGAGGGTCTGAGCGATATCCAAGTGCATGTATGCAAGCTTCAGGTTCTTCGC